GGGTGGAGGGGAAGAAAGTCCTTGGGATGCAGAGTCTTGGGCCCTCCCGACTTGGCGAGGCTCACAAGGACACACATTGGCTGTGTTTTAAATGTCTCTACACGGGCAAAGTAAGGCCAACATCTATAAGGAATCAGAGGGACTAGGGTTCCCAGACACAGCTTCACCATTATGACTGAGTCCCACGACGGGACGGGGTACAGGGAGCAAGGGGCTTCGAAGAGAGAGAGACAGAGACAGAGAGACAGAGAGACAGAGAGAGACAGAGAGACAGAGACAGAGAGACAGAGAGAGAAACAGAGAGACAGAGAGACAGAGAGACAGAGAGAGAGACAGAGAGACAGAGAGACAGAGAGACAGAGAGAGACAGAGAGAGAGACAGAGAGAGACAGACAGACAGACAGAGAGACAGACAGACAGACTCGGGGACAATGAGGTCCAGAGAGGTGCCTACTGAGGTCAAAGTGCAAATCAAAGCCAGGGAGAGAAACCTAATTAGTTTTCAGACGTTTGGGCCACTAAACAGCCAATGCAGGCGGGGAAGGCAAGGGAGGAAGGTGGCTAAGGGAACATCTGCATGGTGGAGACTTACAAAACCTGTGTGCATAACAGCTCGTGTCTGAGAATCGCCTCTTGGTCGGAGTGTGTGGGAAGAAGCCGTAGCCCAGGGAGGGGGCGAATGCTGAAGATGCATACAGCAGCTGTGGAGAGATCCGGAGACGGGCAGAGACTCAAGCAGAGAAATGACTCATGGGGGCAGAAAGCACTAGAGGTTTGTTCCACTCTCTCTCTCCAGGGTCAGCAGCAACGCCACCTCTCGCAGCTTCAGAAGGCAGAGATGCAGAGGCTGTCCAGGAAAGACAGACAGAGACATGGGGTGAGGGGCGGGGAGGGGAGGCGACAGAGATGCAGAGACCATGCAGCGTGAGGAGCAGAGCTCATGAGACCTTGGGGGACAGGGTCACAGAGGCTGTGGGGGACGGTGGGACCCAGGCCGTAGGGGACAAAGGCAAAGAGATGATGGGGGACGAGGAGGATGCAGAGACTGTGTGCCTGGCGGAGAGACAGTGGGAGAGGGTGACCGGGAGGGAAGGAGATGAAGTCACCACGGAGGACAGACACACAGAGCCCGCCGGGCAACCAAAGGACTTGCGAACCCCAATGGATGTCTCTCGCGCAAGAGGAGTCCGCCCTTAACTAATAAGAACGGCTCAACTTTTCTTGGCCAGTTGGCCCTCCTGGCTCCTCTCTGTCTGGAAGCCGGCCTCAGAGTGACTGCACCCTCTGCTTCTCCCAGGATTAAGTTAAGTTCAGTGTCAGAATCAAGCTGGAAAGTGGGTCCCTGCGCCCTCACAGAGGTGTTGGTAGCAATCGTTGGGTTACAGGTGCTCTTGTCCCTCTGGGGCCAGGAGGGAGGGGCACCAGGAAGTCAGGCTGCATAGTGGGATGGTGACCGAGGGGGAGAGTATGACTGTCCTGGATGGGGAGGATGGTCCAGTTCCCCATTGCATTATGGGAAAGCATGGTCCAGTGCCTTCAGGGGGGGGGGGGGGAAAGCATGTCACCTGACACCCAGAAATGGAGGACACTCCTTCCTCCTGTCAGCTGCTAGCCGGGCTACATTACCCACTCAATAGCTGTCGTGTTCTGAAGGGAAGGTGAATTGGAGGCCGGCGGTCGGGGTGGGGGGGTGGGGGAGGGGGGGAAGGCTGTGGTGCCCACGGCGCAGGCAGGAAGCCTCAAGTCACCAAGTCGAGTTTGGAACCCTGGGAGACACCGTGCTTTGTGGGGTACGTCCCGCACTGGGTCCAACCTGGTCACTGCCTTCTGAACACGGCCTCCGTTAAACCCATTGGTGGTCACTCTATACTGAAGGGGTGCACTTTGAGAATGTTCTTTGAGGTCCCGGAAATTACTCTGGCCGCAGTGTCTCACGTGTGGTGTGCACGGTTTTGTTCTCATCAGTGTGTAAATACAGGTAGAAACTGACGGACCACACCCGGAAGGTGGCTGGCAAGCCAGCCGTGAAGTTTGGGGCAGTCAAGGAGCTCAGGAGCAGCTTCACGCCTACCTTCCCCCTTCCTGGGTATCCCCAGATGAGACCAGTCTGTCACACAGCAAGCCAAGTAGGGGCCAGAACACCCAAAGGCCTAGCTGTGCAGGTCACTAACACCCACGGCTGGAAACAGTACTAGGGTCACCGTCTGCCCCACCTGAGCAATGGGCCCGGGACCTGACTGGTTTACTGCAGGGCTTGCTGACCCAGATTTAGGGACTCCACCGAGTTACAGCGTGTTCCAGGGCAAAACTGTAACAGCAGCACCGTGGCTGCCACCAAACATGGAAGACCCTGCTGACTGAGAATTTTACACCAGTGAGGGCTACCCAGACGGGCCTCGGAATGAGTTTCCACGGTGAAGGCATCAAAATGCTAGCAGGCCCGGAGAGGGGTGGGTGCCCTCCGTGGCTGTTCCTCCGTCCCTACTTCCTCTACTGGCCCGAGTGGCAGGCCACACTTCAGCACAAGGTGACAAAGGCATCAAGATGCCCTGCTCCTGTCTCCCACAGCCAGAGCTCCTGGCCTAGGACCTCAAGAGTCAGGTGGCTGGGAGGATGGTAAATGTTAAGTCCTTCTGTCCCTGAGCTCCGTGGAAAGGAAGGGGCTGGAAGGAACTACTAAAGTGGCCCCCGGGACCGCCCACACCGAATGCTAACTTCCCTTGTCTCCAGGGCCAGTGGGGAGCCGTTCTTAGCAAAGCCAGTGTTTGCTGTCATGAGTCTGCCCAGCCCAACCCTGGCCCTGGCTGACTGTTCTGTGCCTCGCAACCATGCTCATCTCTGGTGCTTAAGACATAAGCCCTTTCTTCCACCTGCCTTTTCTCTAGCCTTGGTTTCCCCTCTCTGCTTCGTCATCTGTAGGCTCTTCACTCCTTGTCAGACAGAAACGTTTTAGCCAGGAGAAGGAAATGCGTGGCTGCCAGGCACGCAGACCTCGGCTGTGAAATCTTCTTTGAGACAGGGTCCCGGGTGGTCTAGGCTGACCTCCCCCTCGCCGTGTAACTGAGGATGGCTTTCTGACCCTCCTGCCTCCCGAGTGCCAGGGTTACAGGTGTGTGCACCACCCCCAGTTTTGTTCAGTGCCGGGGACCAAACGCAGAGCCTCGGCCTCACCCTTCTGAAGGTTCTGAATTCAAGTTTCTTAGCATTGTCTCTGCTAAGCTCTGAACCGCTCACTGGGGGCTTGCTGCACTATATGGGGCAGCTGCAGTGGAGGTTGTTGGTGTCTGTAACTGTTGGCATCTCCCCCTGGAGACATCTATTCCTACCTGGCTTTCAGGGAAAGGCTACCCCCATTTTTTTTTTTTTGAGACAGGGATTCTCTGTATTGTTTTGGAGGTTGTCCTGAAACTCAATCTGTAGACCAGGCTGGCCTGGAACTCACAGAGATCCACCTGCCTCTGCTTCCCAAATGCTGGGATTAAAGGCGTGTGCCACCAATGCCCGGCTGGCTACCCCCATCTTGAGCATCTCACACATTCACCGTTGAGACTCCGCAGGAGAAAGCCAGGCTCTAACATGACACTTGATGCAGTTCCTGGCCGTGTTCTCCCCTTCCTTGGCTTCCTGCTTAACGCAAGTGTGCATCCCGGGCGTGGCAAATGAAGACCCTTCAAACTCACAGGGCTGGGAGTCTGGTTCAGTGCTGCGCCCCACCCCCACACCCCGAACTGTATGGGGCTGCTGTGGCTGTGTTAGTAATTCCCATCAGTCTTGGTCTATCGTGTTATGTTGGTGTTCCTATTAACTCTCTGCTTTTAGAAGTTCCTGGCTGGGAAACCAGACAGTCCTATTTATCAGAACTGTGGCTAAAATAAGAGTCAGTACATTTGAAGGCACACCTGAGAGTCTCCCCTGGGAGAAGCACCCAGGCTCAGAGCAGGGGCTTGCGGTATCTATTTTGGCTATGGTCTCTTTTTCTGTCCATTTCCTCTTTTTGGGGGGCTGCCTTAGGAGATATTATTAGAGAGGAGATCTCCAGGTAAGTCAGGGCTCAGGAGGCCTAAGGCACTTAGTGGGAGACAGCCAGGGGGAAAGTGCGGACCTCCAATGCTGTCATCATCATAGCGTAACAGCGCCTTTAAATGACTCCCATTAACCCACAGCACTGCGAAACCCACAGTTTGTCACTTTCACTTGGGAGCTGATGTTATCGGAAGAACGTCTTCCGACCAATTGTGGGGCATCCCGCGCATTCCCCTGAGCGGAGGCAGGGATGGCTCTCGGTGTATCTGTGTACTCCACTTGGTGGACTCCAGGCTCACCGGCCGCTCCCTCCTTCCTTCTTAGCTATCTGTCTGGCACTAGGCAGCGGCTCCTCCCTCTGTCCTGGCCTTGTCCCTCTTCCTTAACTCTTTCCTACTCTTCTGGGTCCATTCCCTTCTCTGAGCCCCGCCCACCATCTGAATCTGCTGCCCAGTGAGGCCCCGGGTGGCAGACACTGGAACTGGTTTGGGTCTGTGGAACCTGTGTTTTCTCTCCCTTGCTCTGTCGCTACGGATGAGTGCTGCTCCAGAGGCTGTCTTTCCAACTGGGCCCTTTGCAAATGTTTCCATGCTTCGTGGCCAAGGCTATCCTCGGCTACATAGCAAGAACAAGGCCAGCCTGAGAGACATGAGACCTTGTCTCGAAACCAACCAGATGAGAAAATATCATATTCTATCTTCTTATGCGACAGAAAGAGAAGAGACCCTGACACCTGGCAAATTGGGACTCAAGATTCCTTCCCCGAGGGTGGGGCTCCTTCTCCCCAACCCTAACCCTGAAGAATACTCATGGTACTCGAAAGACTGACAAAGTGATCATCTGTCCTCCATCTCTATAGGACCCAAGTCTGTAAGCATCCCATTAACACAGGACTCGGTAGCGTGACCACAGCCAGACATTAACAACGACAGCAGAAACACAGTGTTTCCCAAAGTCCACGATGAAGCAAAACTCACCAACAAAGTTCCGACCCACAGACCAGCAGCTGCAGTTTTTTCCTCTCTTAGATTTCAGAGTTCTTAGATCTTTGCTTCCTCTTCCAAGTGTGGAGGCCCTGGTCCTAGTCACAGGGGATGGAGAGTGATGGATTCAAGCCACAGGGGTCTAGAATGATGTCTGTCCTTGCTGTCCTGCTCCAGGCTCAGGGCTCGGCTCCTCAAGGCAGTGTGGCTTGCTTTTTGCCTTCATGGGGGTGGGTGGTGAGCTGCCTCACCACAAATGTCTATCTTCAACGCGCTGCAGACCATATGAAGGTAGCAAAAGTGGGGGCAGGAAGACACCTTATGTAACTAGGTCAATGATTTCAATGAGATGCAAATATCTTTTTTTGCGTGTTTCAGAATTATTAGTCTGTGGAATGCTTCTTGATTCCTGGAAATTACATATCAGGTAGATGATTGTAAAGTTCCCTGAAAGGGGTCCTGTCCACCCAGTGGACTGCAGTCAGCTACCCACAGTTTTGCTTCTGAAGGAAGGAAGTCTAAAAACCTCAGCAAGTACCTTCGAGGCTACACATCCCCCAGGACAGTCCTTGTTTGGCCCTTGGTGGAAAACACCTGTGATTTCTGGTAGGCAAGGTGGGTGACAGCCCAGGGCTCTGATACTCACACATCTCCTGTATTTGTGAGTCTTAGTAACACTGTTAAAAGGTCAGGACATTAAGACTACAACAGTAGTAACACTGTTAATGTTTATGTAGCACAAGGCAAGGATATTTTTCATTTACTCCTGACTTTTAAATGTTGGCAAAATGGATATTACTACCCTCATCTGTCAGGTGTGGAAAAACCCAGCGCCCAAAGGTGTTGAGTCATTTGATGCCACGGATTCAGTTAATACGACTTTTTACATTAACCCTCATTCATCTATTTCATCAGCAGACACTCACTGAGCGCCGGCTGGGTGTGGAAACTGTGTCCGGGGGGAAAAGCAGAGGAAGCAGGGAATTAAATGGGTGAAATCCTTTACCCTGGAGGATTTACACGCTTGGTCAAGGGGCAGCAGACACTGTGGAAATCAAGTGTGCGCACAGTATGGCAGCCTTTACTTCAATGAAGCTAGACAAGGCACCCTGTTACATACGTTAACCATGTGTGAGAGGGGACTCTGGGAAGGGAGGGAGGGAGAGGTGGTTTTCAGGGTGTGGTATCTAACATAGAAAGAGAAGCCTGGCCTAGGAGCTAAGACTTCTGAAGCTAGAAAGCAAGAGAAGGAGCAGGCTTGGGTCTCTGGACGCCTCCCACCTCCACACTCATGCGTGAACTACCCTTCCCTGGGGAGGGGGGGTTCACACCGCTGTTTGAAACTCTCTAAGTTCACACGCGGCTGGAGAAGACCTTCAGGTCTTCTCATTATTTCAGCTTAAGTGCCTATCACCAGGGACATTTCATCATCTGAGTCCATGAGAATGAACCGAACTGGTCAAGGTGTGACCGCCTCCCGGGAAGTGTGACCCCACCCCCACCCCCCACGACATCATGCTGGTCAGCACCAGTGTCTTCACTGATGACAGGATTGCAGAGTAGAAGCCATGCTGGCCTTGAAAAGATCCCCCACAGCTCAGGGAAAGGTACGGCAACAACGTTAAGACCAGCCTGGGTTCTGGAATGATTCCAAAATCCCACTTCTGGAACTAATTCGTTATCACAAAGAAAGCTGAGCTTACCCCCACCTCTGGCTTGGACACAATTATTTGATGGCCTTATTCCCATTGGCTTATGGAGAGCCTGATAGAATGGCCGCTTTGAGTGGCTGAGCACAGATACACACACAGCTTGGCTCCCAGGGCTCAATGACAAGCTACCCTGGGCTCCAAGTACCCTTGATCTTCAGGCCCTGTGTGTGGTCCCTCCGGGGACCCAGTCAGGAAATCACAGTCCAGGTCTGTCGATGTTGGGGTCAAGCTCTGGTTGGTATTTATAGACTCCCCTCTGATGATCAACAACCATGAACCTGGACCGGATTGAAAGCACCTTTTCTTACCACACGACCATGGGGTCTCCGGGGTTGCCACACCCAACACCACTTCCTCGTTCATCAAAAGCAGCCTGTTCAGGCTGGTATGTCACCCACGATGTGACTCTTATTTCCAGCCTGTTTGTCTCTAGCTCAGCCCCAGCACACAGTGTCACAGAAGCTCCTCGTGGCAATGGACGTGGCAGAAAGGGTCTGTTTGTCACATGTATAGCACCACACTGACGGGAGCTGGAAGCAGCCTCAGCAGCTCACATCAGAACATCTGGGGTAGTTCACAGGGACAGAATCAGCTGCGGTGACATGTTCCACCTGCCAGGAAGGACCTTAAAGCAGGGTGACTGGTGAGGGAGGGTGACTGGGCCTATGGATTCAGGACATAGGAATCCTAACATTCGGTAGCCTCCCCACTTCAGGAAGCACCCCCCCCCAGAGCAGTTGATTAGACTGAAGCCCCTGCTCTGGGAGTGGCCAGCCCCTCACAACAGTCTCACGGAGGCCAGTGACTTACTGCAAGACACAGGGTAAGACAGTCTTGGGCTCAACGACACAGGCACCTCATCATGGAGGTTGGTTAACATTTCCTCCTAGTTTGTCAAGCCTGAGCCCCATGCGGTATACAGGCTTGGGAAACCCCAGACAGTGACCCAGACTCAGATCTGTGTTCGGATTCTGAAGAGACATAGCTCATGACTTCGAGCTGCTTTCTCTGCTTGTCTGTCGGTGTTGCTTTCGTCCAGAGACCCGTCATCACCTTGGTCTCGCTTCATGGAAAGCCCAGCTCACTGAAAAGAGCAATGCCCAGCACAGCAATGTCTCATCCCACAGCAGCCCGAAGCAGTTGCTGCAAGCGAGGGCCGGGATAGGAAGTGGTTTCACTAGTTGGAGACAGGGACTCCTGCCTGAGGGGCTGGTGGAGGCACCTACCCTACCCACATACAGAGAAAGCAGGAAGGTTCTCCGATGGCTCTTCGCTATGAAGGAAACGGTTGGCTTTTCCACGTACGGAGCTACGGCGAGCAGAAGCTTGGCGAGGCCCCTGCACTGCAATGGGGAGATAATTTTCTTTCTTTCTTTTTTCTCAGTATGTTTTTATTTAAATTAGAAACGTGAATGTTTCACGTGTCAGTCCCAGCTCCCTCTCCCACCCCTCCTCCCTTGTCCCTCCACCAGTCCTCCAACCCCCCCACCCAATCCCCACATCATTCCCCAGGGAGGGTGAGGCCCTCCTTGGGGGGATCTCTAAAGTCTGTCATTTCATCCAGGGCAGGATCTAGGCCCTTCCCCATGTGTCCAGGCTGAGTGAGCATCCCTCTATTTGGAATGGGCCCCCAAAGATCATTCATAAACCATGGTGAACACTGATCTACTACCCAAGGCCCCAGTGATTTCTGGAGACTACATTCATGGAGTCTGGATCAGTCCCCTGTTGGCCTCTCAGGCATCAGTCTGGGATTCAAGAGCTCACCCTTATCTGGTCAGCTGTCTCTGTGGGTTTCATCATCATGGTCTTGACCCCTTTGCTCATCACTCCTCCCTCTCTGTCACTAGGTTCCATGAGTTCAGTTCAGTGTTTAGCTGTGGGTATCTGTCTCTGCTTCCGTCAGTCACTGGATGAAGGTTCTAGGATTGCATATAAGATAGTCATCAACCTTACCATCAAGGAGGGGCAATTAATGTAGCCTCTCCACTATTGCTTAGTTTGCCAGTTGGTGTTATCCTTGTAGATCTCTGGAGATCTCACTTTCAGCCTTATCAGTTTGGCTGACACCTGACAAATGGTGTCTTTTTTAGAGATTAAATTAAGATAAAGCCATCAGTTTTGGTCCTAACCCAGTGTGGCCGGTGTCCCCGTAAGAAAAAGACCATGGGGGTAATGAGATGACTCAGCGGGTGAAGTCAGTTGCTTGACAAACTTGACGGTCTGATTCGGTACTCGGAACCCTAGTAGAAGGAAAAGAACCGGCTCCAACAAAATTTCTGCTTGCCACGTTATGGCCTGGTATGGGTGTCCCTCCTCCCCGATAAACAAATGTTAAAGGAAGACAAAAACAAAGAGGAGGTGGAGGCCGGGCAGGTGGCCCCGTGGTTACGAACACTGGTGGCTCTTCCAGAGGACCTGGGTTCAATTCCCAGCACCCACAACCACCTGCAATTCCACGGGCGGCAGGTATGCACACGGCACGCAGTCATACATGCAGGAAAAACACCCGCACATATAAACTAGAAAACTAGCAATAAAGATGGCGCCGTGTGCCTGCGTCCTTACCCAGCACGTGGCTGGAAGGAGCTCTCTGTGCCCCTTAAAAAGAACTCACCCCTCTCGTGGGGCTCCATTCTTATGACCACCTCCGGTGACTCACTTACTAAGCCTCGGATGTCAGGGCTTCCACACCCACGTTTGGGTGGGCACAAACATTAAAATGGCAGCATTTGTGCAACCGGTCTCATAGGGCGTGAGAGTCAAGGTTTAGCGTCCCAATAGGCAAAAGCCCCTGACCTATCTCCTCCCCAAGAGGCTGACCAAGGGCCAGAGGAACAGAAACTCGTCGGCAGCTACAGAATTGTAGAGACACCCTGCCCTCCTGGCTTGGAGCCAGCGGCCTAGGTGTCTGTAGGCTTCTTGCTCAGCACTGCTCCTGGTCAGTACAGAGGCCACTGTCCTTCGCTGTAGGGGTAACTCGGGACAGAGGAGGAGAAAGGCAGCTGGAGCCGCTACGACTTCAGCAACACTATGCTACACCTACTGGTCCGAGTAGCTCTATGTGCATGTCTCATCTCCCAAGGCCATCCTACTGTCGCACAGTCCAGGCAATATGGTGCCATCACCATTTACACAGACTGTCATCAGGTCCTCCCTTCCCCACACCTGCAGTCCCTTTAGAGGGAACAATATATATCCCAAAGTCCTTGTCCCTCTAATACTTTCACACACGAATGTTAGTTGATGGTGTAGAAAATCCATAACGTGGATGAGGACAGTGTAGTGCCTGCAGTTTGAAAGTGTTCCATAAACATCTGTGTGTCAGAAAATTAAAGCCCACAGTCCTGTGCTAATGCATTTAGAGGTGGAACCTTTGGGGACAAACTGGAGGGGAACCTGCCCCGTCCACGCATCACAGCAAAGTGGGGACGTGACATTGCAGTGCACATTTTATTGAGGAGAAAATAGCAAACATAAAAAAATGAATCATTTGTCCTTGAAACCCCCCAAGTGAGAGTTTGCACAGCTCATAAACAAATATAAGTGTTTT